TGCTTGATAAACCATGAGCTTGATTTTGCATCTAATGTTGCGATCTTTGAACATCAATTTTCTCATGCTCCCAAAGGTTGCACTTGCACTTTAAAGTGATGTTGGATTTCTTCATCAATGTCAGCCTTCTGTGAGAAAAGAGTTCCCCAGAGTCTCACCATAAATCTGAATTACCAGAACTGCTCATTAAGAGCTTAATAATGGAAGACCTTAGTCTTTTGAATATTGTCAGTCCCATTTTCTTGTTTGCCTCGGTAAAGACATTGACAATTGCCTGAAGGTCTGCTTTTGAGTGAGCACACACTACAGCATCATCAGCATATTTGATCTCCAGGATTGAGGTCAGGGTGCTCTTAGTTTTGACCCAAAGTCAGCTAAGATTAATGAGACAAACTCCAAGGAAAAGAAATTGAATTGCTAACAAGCCAAGGCAGAAGTCCAAAGGAAGACCTGAGATATGAAGAACAGATGGTTAGAAGACAAGGTGGTTTAACATCTCACTGACATTCACAATCTACATGTTTTTTTCAGTGCCAAAGCCATCTACAGTATGAGCACTCAGGGACTAACCCTCTTGAGACCTAAGGATGAAGGACACCTGTTCAAGGAAAGGGGAGCCATCAACACACATTGGAAAGAGAATTGTGAAGACTTCTCAATTGAGACTCTTTTGTTGATGAGAGTGTTCTCAATTCCATCATGCAATATCCAGTCAGAGATGATCTCTGAATTCCTCCAACCCTTGACACAGTGAGGTAAGTCATCAAGCAGATGAAGAATGACAATGCATCTGGAGCTGATGGAATCCTAGCCGATATCTGCAAGCAGGGGGGAAGAAAGGAGCTCATATCACAGCTCCATGCCCTTATTTTAAGGATTTGAGATGAGGAAATTCCAGATGACATTATCTTCACTGGTTGCCAGCTGCAGGAAAAATGCTGGGAACATCATAAACCTCTCTACATGGCCTTTTCTGACCTCACAAAAACCTTTGACTCTGTCAACCAAGAAGTGCTGCGGAGATTCCTTCTGAAGTATAGATGCCCTTCAAAATCTGTCACCATTCTTTGCCTATTCCATGAGTGGACATGTCTACATGTGCATTTGATCTGGGATCAGTTGATTTGTAAGTAAACAATTTGCAAGTAAAACCTCTGACCAGGTATCTGTGGAAGCAGATTTGTTGCTAATGGCACCAAACTGCTCCCACTTACTGGGGCCCTGCAGTGGGCCCCTGCTTCCAACCTGCTGCCACCAAGGGGAGCTCTAGGCTCCTCATGGGTGCTAGCCCAGGGGCTGGTAGGGAGCAGCAGGCCAAGAGACAGTTTTCTTCTGGATGGGGCTGAAATACTGAATCCTGCCAACGTGGGGTCTGCCTGCTTCTGGGGCAGGGATAATGTCCGGGCAGTAGGGAGCTCCTGGCCCCAGCTCCTAAGTCAGGGACAGGGGACTTGGAAAGAGATGCAGAGGAAGGGCAGATCCCAGATCCCTGCCCATCTGCTAGTGGGGTAGCCAGTAGCTAGCACAGTGCTAACTACCCCACCAGCAGATCAGGGCAGGGGGCAGGCACCTACCCCACCCCTGCAGCACTTTCTAAGCCCCTGCAGGATCTGACCCAATACCTATAGTATATTTCTTCTGAAACCTATCTTAATAGAATTCAACTTTGTATCTGTTGAAAGTAGATTACTATCTACTATCCCTTGGTTCTAGATTTCTGCTATCACATGAGGAATGTTTGAGTCATAGCCCATCTCAATAGCATCCCTTAAAATGTCCCTGTGAAAAAGGGAAGAAACAGAATCCCCATATTACAGAGAAGTAACCATGTTCAAAGAAGGCAGAGTACATAAGACCAAGATCTTTCAATGGGAGATAGATAAGCACAGAAACAAGTGCCTTCAGTAAGGCAGTAAAATCATACAAAAATTGCCAGGTGCTGATATGTTTCCTCAAATCCAACAGGTAAGGTGATTTAATTAAATAACCAAGTTATCACAAAATTTTGATGATCAGTTATCCGTTTTTTAACAACTGAAGAACTACATAGACTTTTCTTAACACGGCAGGGCAATGTAGTACATAGTGCAGAGAACTACACCTGTATTTAAATACAAATACATATATGCAACAAGAACAAGAATACACCTTTTTAAAAAAAAAATAGAATATATCATTAAGGCCAAGTTTTTTCATTCCCCTTTTAGAATATTTCCTTACATGATTATATTAAGAAGTTTGTGTGTGAGGATCAGTAAATTAAAAATAAAGGCATTACCTTAACACCCATTTGTTATTTCTTCTTTCAGAGGGGGCATCCAGATTACTTTCCAAATATTTTCACTGTATTCTATTTGTTTCCCTTGTCATGCTATATTATTGAAATTTTAATAAATATAGTCAAGCAATTAATAATGACTATTCATGCCTTAAGAGCAAAACCTGTTTTAAGACTTACACTATAATTCTCTTAAACACAAGGTTAAAATGAATTGAATATTCTTTATTAGCACATCATACATAGCATTAATTTTAAAATTCTTCATAGGGGAGAAGTTCAGAATGGGTAGTAGAACACAGATTGACACACTGGTTGAAAGAAGAGATTTTTGCCACTCGTATATTTGAAATATTTTATTGTGAATTTTACCTGAAATGATCTCTTTCTGTATTATTTGTACATTATAACATTATTTAGAAAGGAGGATACAAGCTTAGGCAAGGATTTTCTAAAGAAGAATTGAGAACCACGTTTTCAAAAGTAGGAATGTACAATAGTTGTATATATCTCATTTCTGGAAATCATTGATGTGCTCACACCAATATTTCATGTTAGGTTCCTCACTGGAACAAAATCAGGGAATAGAAAATTTAACAAGATACTTTGTCAGTATTGGATAACTAAACGTTAGGCTCCTTAACTATGAAGTGGCGAAAATAGTGGCTACCCAGCTACACTCACTGAAGTCTGTGTGTGGTCACTGACTTCAGTACCTAACTACAAATATGCGTGCCTAAATTTACACAAAATGGAAACATTACATATTTTCGCTGAAGTGCAATTTCAGATCAACATAGAACAAAAAGTTTAATTTTGTTTTCAAGTTATTTCATCCTTCTCAAATCCTTTTCTAAAGAATTAACATTATGCAAAATCAGTTTTCAATTAAATTAGGAAATGTCATTGAAAATATATTTAAAAAAGCAGCCCCTCTCACAATTTCAATGTGTATTTTTTCAGTTGAAGGATTCTCCAAATCCAAATAAAAGTCACAAATGATTTCAGTCTTCTCCCCACCTACATTTTTCTGTAGACATACTATTTTCTGAAAAATGATTTGCCCAGTTCTACTCTTGACTTGCCTGTGAGTGATGAAATCTCTGTAAAGTTGCAGTTCACCTGGTGGCTGGCCTAGCTTCCAATGGTTAGCCCTGTCAGCCTGAAGTCAAGTAGAGTTGCACGTTATAGACCAACAAAAGAGTTCCCATTAATTTCAGTGGGAGCAAAATTAGGAACAATGTGTTGATCCAATAGATGGCAGCATAAAGCAATGGTTCTCACTTTGTTAGACTCAAAGCACCTTTTGGCAGACTCAAGTCACTACTCAGAAAATGTCAACTTGTACTTTTTACTCCATTTTTTTTAAACTACAGACAAAGAGCAATTCTTTTGTTGCAAAGAACTCAGAAAGACCACAACAGGTCAGAATATTTATAACACTATAGATTCCTATGACAAATTTCTAGGTTTATGTTGTGAATAATGTTTGTGCACATAACAGTGATAACATTGTGTAGTACCCTCCAGCACCCTTCAAAGGATGTCATGGCACCCTGGTTGTATATCACTGGCATAGAGACTGGGTATCTATAGTTTAGTTTCATTTTGTGTGGTAAGTTTACCTTAGACAAGTCAGTTAAGTTCTCTCTCCATTGGCTTCCCTATCTTTCTAGAAAAAAAATAGATAATATTTAATCAATTCAGGAGTGTCTGGGGGCTAAAACTGTTTCTGTAAATAAAGATAGAAGGAGCGCTTTCATGAGCACAATGTAGGACAGTGCATCAAAAAGAATAACTCCCATTCTCGAGATTTTGAGTGGTACACAAGCCAAGTAGATGTGGGTGGGAATTTACTACATTGTATGATAAAGAGTCCCCAAACATATGCTTATTTTAATGTGTTTAAATAGTTAATAGTTTAAATATTAAAAAGAGCTAATATATTACATATGCCCATTTTCTGATTCACTGCACATAAACATTTAAACCTGAATCCAATTATTTGGTTGTATTATAAATGTTATACTAGTTTTTAGTAATTTAATGCAAGAATTTGCATTTTCTAGTATTTTCTGTAAAACAAGTTGAAAGGAATAATATAATATCCACATTCAATAGATATACAACATTCTGGAGAATCACACAAATACATTAAGCATCATCTGAGACAATATATGCAAAAATATATTAATACTTTGTCCTTAAATCTGTTTGTTTTTTTTAACACTGAAAAGTCTTCACAATATAGACACGATAAAATCACTTTGGTTTGAAGACAGATCATGCTTAAATTGGATTTCTACAGCACAGACAAACATACATTAGTTCACACAAAGTAGCTGATAAAGGTTTTGATTCTGTTATGCTCTGCAGGTTCAGAACTGAGAGTGTTCTTTGTTAAAAAGCAAAATAAATTAGGATGACTACTTCTCATTTCTGACAATTTAAAGGAAAAACTGGAGTTTTTGCAATCATTCAAATTAATGTTATGACCAAATGTTTAATATATGGTAATGACAGATACACACCATAAGAAGAAAGCTGTAATAAGGAACATTTTCATTTTGAGCCATTTTTTGAGCTTATTATGGTATTAAGCTTTTCCTGTCTTGCAAGAAGCGAGTGTCTTACTACCTGCTCAGCAATATGGAAAGCATGATCCCCAAACTGCAGAGCCGATCTTTTTTTCCACTGAGCTTATTTTTTGGGAGTACCTCATTCATAAGTATCACCTGGATCTCATTTATTTTACTTCAAATTATGAGAGCTCTTAAATATTATCAAAAATGTCTCTGTGTGGCAAACTGCACTCAAACGGCAGTCGTTATCTGAGTTAGTCCTAAATCATTTGATTCTTCTCTTCCTTGAGGACAATAAGATGACATCTCCACGACTAGTCATACCGGTTTGTTTGTCCCATCTGCATCCCTTGTATAAGCAGGGTCTTGGATTGTGTTTCTGACTCTGCTGGTGCTCTGCCTGTCCATCCTCATCTTAAAAGGAAAGCAGAAGTCCTTGAAACATCGCTTGAAATTTTCATCCAAAAAAGCATACAGGATTGGATTTAGGCTGCTATTGGTGTAACCCAAGGCAATACAGAAATAATAGCTGGAAATTGCTGCAGTGCTATGGGATACATCCCCTAGTGCCTCAACCAGCACAAAAATGTGAATGGGAGTCCAACAGATAATGAAAACTGCCACAACCACAAGAACCAATCTGGTAATACGACGTAGGTTTCGGTCTTTTTCTCGAGACCCTGAGAGGAGTCGGACACTTTTCAAGCGCAGGATCATCAGGGTATAGCAAACAATTATAATAAGAACTGGAATAACAAATGCAAAGACGAAGACGCATATTTTCATGAAGATGTCCCACCACACATAATCCGTGTCTGGAAACTGCAAAGAACATTCAGTACTACCCGTATCTAAAAGTAAAATAGGCAAAAAGAGAAAGAAATTTGTTTTATTATTACATATTCTAAGCCATGCCTCTATCACAAAAGAAGCTAGGAAAAGTGATTACCATGTAACAATCCTAATAAATGGTGTTTCACCAAATCATTTCAGTAACTATTTCCATTTACTATTGCAACTGGTTTAATGTCATCAACTTATGAAATTAGTCAGTCTTTCATATATATGTAGAAAAAGCAGAGACACACAAAAATAAAACCTATAGAGATTGAACAGGTTTTTTGGATTTGGATTTAAGGTATTTAAGACCAGATCAGGTTTCATGTTCAATAGAGCTGAACTCTTGTAGCTGTAATTATGTTATACAAAAGTATAGATTTCTGCCATCCTAAAGGATGGAAATCCAATGAGGTTGCTTGGTCTGATCATGTACATATCATCATGAGACAGTCTTGAAGTGAAACACTGTGGGGGCATGTTTTCCTATAAAGTTTCTTAAGTGCAAATAGTTCGGGCACAGCACTGAGAAAAAAAATGTTTTTTTAGTAATAGATTCCTATTTAGTAAAGAGTAAGTAAAACAAACAGATATACACAGTGTCTAATTGAACTGCTCTTTTTTTTTTAGTGGATCACTTCATTGCATAGCAACTGCCAGGTTTGAGCCACAGACATCACTTTGCTTCTGTTCTTCCTGTAACATCATGACTGGAAGTTGCATATCATCATTTTATGTTCTAGTAATATATTGTCAAGCAAAAATGAATGTTTGTGGCCTTAGCTAATTCAACTGGATTTGAATTCAAGATTTCATTACAGGTCCTGCAATGAAGTGGCGCAAGCAGTATTTTTTATAGAATTCCTGGGGTAGATTTGATGGGCAGGTGGTGCTGGTTAAGGAAATTGCTGTTGAAACTTGTTTTGCCTTGAGTAGACAGCGTTTTTGCTACTGCTGTTCAACTGATTGACTGCAAAGTGTTCTGTCAGAATCCTAGCTTTACTGTAGGATGCAAAGATTTTGTGGGTGGTATCTTTTATTGAACCAACTGCATGGCTGGGATAGACCTAGACAAGCTTTTGAATGCAATGTATCCTTCTTTAGGTCTGTGCAAGTACTTCCTGAAGCTTTATGACTTCCCCTTAAATCAAGTTACTTCCTAATATAGAACCTTATGAAGAAAGGACCCTGGACATCAGAAAAACAGACTTTGACTCACTCAGGAAACTGGTAGGCAGGATCTCCCCTGGGAGGCCACTCTGAGGGGGAAAGGAGCTCAGGAGAGCTGTTTGTATTTTAAAGAAACCTTACGGAGGGCACAGAGCAAACCATCCCAATGTGCAGAAAGACTAGCAAGTTGACAGAAGACCAGTCTGGCATAGCAGGGAACTCTTCAGGGAGCTAAAACACAAAAAGAAAGCTTACAAGAAGTAGCAACTTGGTCAAACAACTAGGGAATATAAAAGTATTGCTCAGGCATCCAAGGATGAAATAAGGAAGGCCGAAGTGCTGCGGTATCTCCATTTTCAAAACACTGACCCTTGGCTTACATGTGGCTGAACAAGCAGTTTCTAAAATGCCTCAAATGCAAAAGGAAAGCATAAAGGCACTGGAAGGATGGGGAGGTCACCAAGGAAGCACACCAGGAAATAGCAAGAACCTGCAGGAAAAAAATTCAGGAATGCAAAGATAGAGAACAAACTGTACCCGGCAAAGGAAGTTAAGGACAACAAGAAGAGATTCTATGAATATGTTGGCCAGAAAAGAAGGACCAAGGAAGCTGTGGGTCCTCTAGTAACAAGCGGGGGGGGGGGCCTCCTAAAAGAAGATATAAAGAAGGCAGAGCTACTTTACTTCAGCCTGAACAAAAAATTTAGCTGCACATAGACACCTAATAAGGATTATCTGGATAAGGAATGGGGAAAGATGAGGGATGAGATAACAAGAGATGGACAGAGAGTTTTTTGTGGGTGTGAATAAATTCAAGTCAGCAGGGCTGGATGACCTTCATCTCAGGGTACTGAAAGAACTGGAAAAGATCTTCGAGCCCTTTTCAATGGTCTTTATGAAATCATGGGAGGTGAGCCAGGTAGCAGAAGACTGGAAAAGAGCCAATGTAGTGCCCCTCTTTAAAAAAAGGCAAAAAGGAGGACTGGGAGAATTACAGACCTGTTAGCCTCGCCTCAATACCTGGGAAGTTACTGGAGCATATCCTAAATAAGGTCATTAGCAAGCATCTGAAAGAAGAAAGGTTGATCACAAGCACCAAGCACAAACTTATGAAAAACAAATCATGTCAAACAAACTTGATCTTCTTTGACAAAGTAACTACTTGCGTGGATGAACTGAATGTATAGATATAGTGAATCTGGACTTCAACAAGGCTTTTGACAAGGTCCCACAGGACTTTCTTATAAACAAATTAGAGAAATGTGGGCTGGATAAAACTATTCCAAGGTGGATAGATAACTAGCTCAATAACTGTAAGCAAAGGGTAATTATTAATGTCTGTGTCAGAATAACAGGAGGTTTTGAGTGGAGACCCACAAGGGTCTGTCTTAGACCCAGTGCTGTTCAACATGTTTATTAGTTATTTGGATGCTGGCAGCGAAAGCTTCTTGAGCAAGTTTGCAGATGATACAAAACTGGGAAGGATTGTGAACATATTGGAGGATGCGAGCACAATTCAGAAGGGTCTCAACAGATTGGAAAGCTGAGTTAAAGCTAACAGGATGAAGTTCAGTGCAGACAAATGCAAAGTGCTCAGGAAGAATAATCCAAAACATAAATATAAATGGGGGACACCTGGCTGGATGGCAGCACCATGGAAAAGGATTTGGGAGTCTTGATAGATCACAGACTCAGTATGTGTGATGTAGCCACACAAAAGGCAAATACAGTTTTGGACTGCATGAATAGAAGCATTAGGTGCAAGACATAGGAGGTGATAATGCCTCTCTACTTGGCACTAGTTAGGCCTCATCTGTGTATTTCTGGGCTCCACATTTTAAAAAGGACATGGAAAATTAGAGAGGGTCCAGAGGTGGACAACAAAGATAATAAGAGGCTTGGAAAGCAAGTCATACTAGCAAAGGCTGAAGTAGCTAGGCACGTTCAGCTTGTGGGAAAGGCACTTAAGAGGGACATGATAGCAGTCTTCAAATACTAGAAGGGTTGCCATAAAGAAGAGAGAAAACACCTTTTTCTCTCTTGCTGCAGAGAGGAGGGCAAAATCCAATGACCTGAAGTTGCAGCAAAGTCAATTTAGATTGGATAACCAGAAAAACTTCTTTACCATTAGAATAGTGAGGCAGTGGAATAGACTATATAGGGAAGTTGTGGACTCTCCATCACTAGAAGTGTTCAAGAAGAGGTTGGACAGCCACTGGTTGGGGATGATCTAGGCACAGCTATGTCTGTGTTTTACTATGGGTATTTCCCATGTTTCTGGGCTTTGCTAGTTGCCCCGATTGCTCCCCCCACCCTTGCTTCTGCTACATATGTCAGGATGTTTTTAAACCTGGCTCAGGTGTTGGCTACAGCTAAGATGTGGGACTTCAGTTAGGGTGTGCTGTCCTGCTGGGAGCAAATCCAGAGATTCCTAGCTACAGGGTCTTGCCTCTCTGCTCAAGATCAGACCAATTGCCACATTTGGGGTCAGGAAAGACTGTGAGGTTTTAGGCCATCTTCTGTAGTATCTTCAGAATTGTTAATTACTACTGTCTACTCATAGATTTTGGTGGCCTTTTCCTAGCAGAGATAATGACTCAGTGTATGTTTCAGTCATTTAATTGACAAAGACATCTTACTTTTCATTATTTATATTTCTTTCTAAAGTGTTTAATAATACATGGAAAATATTGTAAGCACTGAAGTCCTAGAAATATGAGATATAAGAGCATTCATTATTAAATACTTGCTGAAAAATGTAACCAATATTTTTATACCCAGAATTATAGGATACACAAATTAGAGAAGTGAGAGTTAAGGAGGTTCCACTGTTCTCAATGGTCCAAGCCACATTTTTATATTATGTTAGAAACAAAAGAATTTAAGTTTAAGTGATCAGGATCATACTCACCTTCCCTGACTTTGGTTCCTCCAAGAACTATTGCAGATATACCCACTGATGAGGACAACAGCCAGATACATATATTGATTATCTTTGCTTTGAGAGGAGTACGAAAATCCAGAGCCTTCACAGGGTGACACACAGCAATGTATCGATCAACACTCATCATGGTCAATGTGAATATGCTGGTAAACATGTTGTAATAGTCAATTGAAATAACAATTTTACACAGCACATCCCCAAAAGGCCATGAGTTCATCAAGTACTCTGTACTTTGAAAAGGCATAGTAGTGGTAACTAAAGCATCTGCGAGAGCCAGATTGAAAATATAGATGTTTGTTGCTGTCTTCATCTTTGTATACCTAAAGCACAAAAAAAAAGGTTTATTATATCAATGAGTTCACAAATATGGTCAGAGTTTTAAGAGAATTTTTATGTAAACACATTTTGACAGTCTCTAGTTCACAGACAAAAGTGCAAGAATGGCCAAGACTCAAGGATTATATTAAATATAGCACCTCAATTGTATTGCTGATGCATTGCCAATGACTATTGGGATTATTGGCAGAACTGGACACAACTAATTTTAATCGGATGTCAGTTTAAATGTCAGTTTTAATTTTGTCATCTAAAATCTGGCTACAAATAAATTAAAACTATTTATTTCATTTGCAAGGACAGAAAAGTCTAGTGTGGCCTTTCCTTATAGCCAGATTGTTGTTTGTCGTTGGTGGGATGTAGTTGACATCCTTATCTCACCTTGCACTTTCATGAACCAATGTTAATCATCATTCTTCCTGGGCCAAACTCTCTACTTGTATAAATTATTCTCTCTCTACTGATTTGTACCAGCTAATGATCTGACCCATAGCCTATAGATACTTAATAAAAATAAACTTCTGCAATCCATCACAATTACCTGCAGCATAACGTGTATACACATACACACTTTAATGCACTTTTAATATACTTTAAAGCAAAATTGATACCTTTATTTGCTTTCTGTTATACCTTTTAAGAATTGTAGCCTACAAGAGCAGCAACACGATAGGTTCACACAAGGAAAAGTAATTTTTAAGGTTCAGAGGTGTGACATAGCAGCATTTTAAACATTTCTCATCATGCTCAGTGTAAATACATTGATTAAATTATTACACAGCAATAATGTTCATGTTGATAGTAGAGGGGAACTGAGAGTCAGGATATCTAAGACTGCTTTTGACTCTATTATTGGCTCACTTTCAACCATCCTTATCACCTTTCTATATCTGTTTCCTTATTAATAATATACTGACTCTTGTAAAGCACCTTTCTTCTAGGAAGCAGTTCATGTATAAATCTTGAAATACTTTAAGATTCACTCACTTTCTTCTGCTCAGATCTCTTGTACTCCTAGGGTACATGCACACCTTCATAGGACCTCAGCTATAGTCATGCGGCTTACTTTAAACCATGTGATAGTAGATCGGGTCTTGCTTATGCAACATTTGCCTGTGCCAGAAGCCATGCTGGGGACCTGATCTAAGTAAGACAGGGTGGGAGAGGGTTGGCAGGGAGATGGAAGGTCTGAGAGGAGTGTTGGGCAGGGGGCTAAAAATAGCCTGATCAAGGTGGTCGGGTAGGAAGAGCACAGCCCCAGAACCAGGATGAGTATTTGGGCTGTCTTAGCCCTGGGGCTTCACTCTGAACATGTACAGATGTTCATTAGATCGGGCTAACCTGTTCCCAATCTAACTTTGTTCACCTCCTCAGGTTAACTAAATTAGATCAGGCCCACCATTTTTGCTCCATCTAACCTCCCCACACATCTGTACAGATCTACACTTAGATTTATCTAAGTCAATCTAAGTATAATGTCTGCATGTACCCATACATTTCAAACATGTGTACAGTCATTTTCATGTGCAAACCTGACAGTGATGTGCCTAATTGCTTGTTTGGGCATATCATTAACTGATTTGTAGATAGAAATATAGAATCTGTGAGCACAGCTGATGCACAATATGTGAAAGTGGCTGCTCACTAAACTTAATTTGTAAGATGAAAAATAACTGTGCGGTCTAATAATGAGCAGTTTTGTGATGCCAACTGCATGCACATGCAGAATAAGAATAGTTTTATGTAATTAAAAATATATACAAAACACTAATTTCTGATTAATAGACAACTTAAGGGCTGAAACAGTTCTTTTGAATTATTCATAACAAAATATGTTGAGAAAATGAAACCAATTACTTGCTCAAAATACACACAAGGCCTGTGAGAAAAAGAAATTGTACATTTTTTCCTTAGATACCAATGAAATCAATCAAATCATATCTAATGGTTAAGCAGAAGCTGACTTTAAAAATTCTTCATATATGATAAGGAAGAAACATTGTAAACTCTGCATGTATATTGTAAGGAAATATTGTTAATATATTCATTTTCATTCATCCGTCCAGAACGAGCTTACGGATGCTCTCAGTTGTGACACATCACAGCTAAACCACTTCATTAAGCGATGTCTGTTTCTAGCTAGTGTTATTAACAAGTCAGTACACAGTCCAGAAAATTATCAGAACATATTACTAAATTATTACCTGTTTTTTTTCAAAATACTAATTTCAACCAGAAAAGACGAGGGTAGACAATAAGTTACAGCATGGCATTAATGATGCTAAAGTCAGGTAGTTCTTTTCAAATCATTTTTTTCATTGAAATATGACTTTAACAACAATAGTACTTTCAGGCTGAAATGTTCCCTGCAATATGAAATCAGTGTTTTAACAAGTTTGACAAACATAGTATGATAGAGTTCCACAATAGTGGTAATATATCTAAACTGCAAATGGAATGAAATAAGAGTAGGAATGAATTAAACGAAATATGAATAGCAAAACAATGTTATAGGAGGGACCTGACTCAGTGAAACCAAATCATATATAAAAACAAATGTCAAAAGCGCCTATCAATTATATGTACCTGATTCTGCTCTGCTTCCATGTGTGATTTTTTGCATGAATATCAAGCAGTAAAGATCAGGGGCTTAGAAGATAAAAACTCTATACCTCAAGCTTATATGCAGATCAAATTCAACATGAAAATAAATCAGAACATAGTAACAGGCTGAGGATATAGGGTAACTAGATATCAGTCCAATGTGATGGATCTGCTGTCTTTGAGGTCTTAAACATCAATAATAAAGTTTGTTAATATGGAACTAACACACAGCTAGCATAAGTCAATATCCTGCAATTGTCTTGTTCATATAATGTTAGGCAAGTGGTTCTCAACCTTTTTAGACTCATGGCAGCCCTTGTTAGACCCAAGGCACCCTTTGGAAAATGCTGGTGCTCGGCTTTCACTCCTGTTTTGACTTTAGAAAAATAGTAGAGCAATTATTCTGTTGCAAAGATCCCAGAAAGACCACAATGGACCAGAATGTTTTTGACACTCTGAATTCCAATTTGAAATTTCTGGGCCTATCCTGTGAACTGTGCATAGGTGTTTGCATGCTTCACAATGCTAGTAATTGCCAGATCCTTAAAAGGATTTCTTGGCACCCAAGGGTACCTGGTTGAAAAAAAAAAAAATCACTGTGTTAGACCTCATCATCACTTTCTGAATGACAGTCTAGCTTTTATAGAAGCAAGGGCACATTTCCATGTTAATAACAATAAATATAAAAATGTTATTGTAGGCCAAGATTTTCAGTGGAAGCCTAAAGCTAGAGTCTAAAGTCATCTTTAGATTCCTAGATGTCCAAGGTATCTTCTGGCACCTAAATGTTCCTAAGTGGGTAGCTCCCAGAAGCTCCTACTAAAATGAATGGAGGTTGCTATGTGCACAGACTTCCTAAAAAAAAAAAAAAAAAATGCATAAAAGGACAGACTTAAGAGCAAAAGCCAGTGGGTGGGTACACAAAAAGTTGCCATGCGGTAAGCAAAGGGATGAACTTGCTGTCTACATGCATGCTCTTAGCTCACAGTATATGTTACATAGCTTCCCCCCTCAGTGCAGCTGTCCAAAGCTCAGTGAAGTAAGTCATCTCACATCTACCTTAGGTAGAAATCCATACATGGGTAATCACCTCAGAGTAATGTATATTTCAACCTTACCTCATGGTAGTTTGCCCTTGAAGGTACCAAGGAACTCATTTCTTTATTATTGTATCGAGTTAAAATTCATACATAAAAAGTTATTATAAAGTTACTTGTGAACTGCAAGGAATCTATTTTTGTTTAAAAATGGAACAGTTCCCTTGGAGTGAACCCAGGCCCCTTGGATCAAAAAGCATGACTCTCTACTGTTTCTCCTTAAGGGCAAGCTCCCTTAGCTCAAATGCAACAAGAAACTTAAGCTTGTATATAGTTTTACCATTAGAGGATGATCAAGAGGGATACTGTTCCTTGGCTGGATAAATTTATCCCAACCCAAGATATAATTTAAGTCTCCTTTCAGGCCACTGCTTATAACTGCACTAAATAAGTCATCTGCAGGGACTAAACACGGGATTTCCAGATATAACCCTCTACAGCTTGAATAAGTTTGGGGGCAAGTTTAGACCTATAAACTTCTTCATAAGGTCTCACCATTAGAAGATAACAATGGTTAGCATAAATACACTGTTTTTCTCCTTTTTTTAATAAAGCTTTGAAAAATCATTAGTATAACTGAGGGGTACAGGATGGAAGAGGACAGGGTGACAGGGGCATGAGTCCCACAGTGTTCGTAAGGCAGGGCACCGGAGGGGAGACAGAGGAGCCTAAGCCACTAGCAACACAGAACAGAATGGAGTGGGGTCAGGTCTCCCCTCTTGAGCCTCACCTTCCCTCCCTGTGGAAGATACTGTTGCTGCAAGGAGAAGTGTGGATATACGAGTGTCACGGTGGAGTCCTATAGGAGGGCCGTGATCTCCTTACGGCCCCCTCACCGTGCCAAGTCGGTCCAAGGGCACCCTCAAATTCTCTCCTGCCACGTCTTTGATGGTTAGATAAAGTTGGGAGGCTGCCTTACGACTCCCTGGGCACGGTTAGCTGGGACCTCTGTCCCCGTGTGTTCCCGGACCCCCTGGGGGTCTCCCGGTATGATGGGTGCTCCCCAGGCACCCTAGCCTTATGGGCTACGTGTGGCTCCTACCAACCCCTAATACCACGCCCCAAGCCTCGCAGATGTACCGGACGTTGGTCCGTCAGAATACATGCCCGCTCTCCCGGGCCTCCTCTATGATCTAGCCCCCTCCGGGCTCTCTCCTCAGGCTCACCGCATTGCTATCCCCTCTCCTCAGGGACAACCGCAGCACCACGCCCTCGTCACTCTCTCCCAGGGTCTAAATTCCCTGGGCCTTCTCTAAAACAACCTGGCCCGCAACGGGACTTCC